CAAAAAAAAAGCAGCAGTGGTTACTGTGTAGGCTGGCTTAAAATCAAAGCAATGTCGTTGTGTAGGCAGATTCTGAGGAGAGAAGCCACATACCTTGGAGGGTGCCGAGCAGCAGAATTACGGGGATGGACCGACCACCGACCAATATAATGGGCACGCCAAACAGTCCAATCAAATGAATAAGTGTACGACCAAGCTTCTGCTCTTGCTGTTGCTGCTGCTGCCGCACACCATACCCAGGAAGCTGCTGTGGCGTCAAAACCAGACCATTGTGCTCCTGCTCAAATTCTGGAGCCTTTTCAGCAGTCCGTACCACACCATCCCTCTTCTTCTTGCTGCTCTTCCCACTCCCCTCGTGCTTGCTTCCACCAGCAACAGGAGCAGCAGGAGAAGCACGTATCAGGAGCATTTTGGAGAGAAAGGGGCAGAAGAATCCGGTAGCCAGCATGAGGAGAGTGAGAGCTAAGAAAAGGAGCGAGGATGCGAAGACAAGGCGGGGGATACCCAGTTGTATAGCCTCTTGCAAGGAGGAGATTGGGAACATTGCTCCTGGGTCTGCTTTAAGCTGCTGCTGCTGCTGTTGCAGCAGAGAGTAACCAGAGAGAAAGGAGAGGGATGAAGGCGAATCATGGAGTAACCAGAGGAAAGCAAGCAATGCGTAGCCCACCCACATGCCCAGCTGTGGTACTAGGGCAGCTAGTGAAAAAAACACCTGCCCGAGCCTTTCTAATGCTGTCTGGTGATTTGAAGCTTGAGTGGCTTTGTTCGAGGATGGCTGGGCGAGGTGAGGGGAGCGACGATGGGAGGAGAGGGAGGTCGAGAGAGCGTGGAGGAGAAGGGGAACTAGAAGCAGCGGCGCATAGGAGAGGAGTATGGAAGGAAGGACGTGGAGGAAGTGGGAGGAAGAGAGGGCTCCTAAAGCTGCTGCTCCTGCGGCAGCACCAGACGCAGTGGAAGCAGCAGGGGCAGCAGAAGGGGCAGAAGCAGTAGCAGCAGTGGCAGCAGTAGCAGTAGCAGCTGTCGCATCCGCACTTGCGGCCGCCTGATTGGAGAGCTTGTGCGAGGCGGAGAGACCCAAGGCAATGAGCAAGGCGTTGACTAGCAGCAGAGAGGAGGCCTGCAGTGAGGGAAGGGAGAGGGGAGCAAATAGGTGACTTATGAGTCGACTCAAAAGTCGAGGCGGAGAGACCCAAGGCAATGAGCAAGGCGTTGACTAGCAGCAGAGAGGAGGCCTGCAGTGAGGGAAGGGAGAGGGGAGCAAATAGGTGACTTATGAGTCGACTCAAAAGTCGAGGCGGAGAGACCCAAGGCAATGAGCAAGGCGTTGACTAGCAGCAGAGAGGAGGCCTGCAGTGAGGGAAGGGAGAGGGGAGCAAATAGGTGACTTATGAGTCGACTCAAAAGTCGAGGCGGAGAGACCCAAGGCAATGAGCAAGGCGTTGACTAGCAGCAGAGAGGAGGCCTGCAGTGAGGGAAGGGAGAGGGGAGCAAATAGGTGACTTATGAGTCGACTCAAAAGTCGAGGCGGAGAGACCCAAGGCAATGAGCAAGGCGTTGACTAGCAGCAGAGAGGAGGCCTGCAGTGAGGGAAGGGAGAGGGGAGCAAATAGGTGACTTATGAGTCGACTCAAAAGTCGAGGCGGAGAGACCCAAGGCAATGAGCAAGGCGTTGACTAGCAGCAGAGAGGAGGCCTGCAGTAGCGGAAGGGACAGGGGAGCATGAAGGAAATGCGAATGTCTGAAGAGTCACTCTTGACCCAATCATACGAGTCCTGTTTTTTTACCACAGTTTCTACCCTTTCAACCACATATAGAGCAAAATCTCCACTGCATGGAAAGGGAAGAGAAACAGCATGAGGACAGAAGAACATTCCACGAGACAATACAGGAGCACAAGGGAGGAACCAGCAAGGCACCTGCACAATGCCCCTCCAGCTGCCCGCTATGACGGATTGCCGTAGGTGAAGCAGTGCTGACGTGGCCAGCAGAAACGCTGCCACATGTCCCTCCGCCACTGGGGAAACCAGGGGAAAGAAGAGGGTAAGGAGGGGGGGAAGGAGAGGAGGGGTACAAGCTCTCTTTTACGAATCACGAAAGGAGGGAGAGGAGCAAGGTAAGAATCAAGAGACGAAGTTTTGAGACATTAAGAAACAAGCAAGGAAGTGCGTTGCTGAGACGACTTATAGGGCATTGAGGATGGGTCAATCAAAGGGTCTATAGGGTGAGCTGTGTGTGTGTGCTTCATGGAAGACAATATCCCGGCACAGCTAATAGCTGGCTGGATTGTTTGAAGAACATGGCTTTTGGCATACCGCCTGGCTTTGAGACATCTCAAAATGTTGAGACATCTCAGATCCACTACCTCCGAAATGTTTTGAGCTTCGAGATATTCAGGCTTAGGGCTTCAAGCAAACTGCACCGGTTTTTTAGCTCAGGCATAGCAAGTGGTCTGAGAAGTACGAGAGGTAACCATGGGGGGAGCAGTTGAGGGAGTGAGATAATGTTCGAGTGAGTGAGTATATGGGTCAGTGAGTGAGTGCGTGAGAGCGAGCGTACTTATGAAACTGTTGGAGTTGAGACTGAGTGAGTGCATGAGCACCATCACCACTGCCCACAGCACCATCCAGAGGTGACCGGGACTAGAGCCGCCGCCAGCACCCGCAGCAGCAGCACCAACGCCACCACCAGCACCCGCAGCGGCAGCGGCAGTAGCACCAGCACCAGCAGCACCATCACCAACGCCAGAGGCAGCAGAAGCACCACCACCACCACGATCAGCAACAAGGGCAGCAGCACCACCGCCGCCAACACGAGCAGCAGCAGAACCGAAACCAGCAACACGAGGAGCGATGTACCAAAGAATAAGCAGCAGGTGGAGAAGGAGGGAGAGGAGGAGGAGAGCGAGAGCAGCGAGCATGGAAGTGATACCGAACTGAGTCCATTGGGATCTAGCAAGGGCAGCAGCAGCATCGAGATAGGTGAGATGAGCTTGGATCGAGGAGATGAGAGAGGAGGAGCGGGGGTGTGGGAGAGTGGAGGAGGAGAGAAGAGGGGTGGCGGTGGATTGTGCGTGTGCGTAGAGTTGTTTCAGGTGGGAGAAAGGCTGGTGCGGGAAGGGAGAGGGGGCTTCGTTGGAGTAGCGAGAGAGATAGCGATGCACCTGGGGCGAGGGGAGGGGAGAAGATGGGAGGGGTGGGGAATAGAGGGGAGGTGAGGGAAGGGAGGGTGAGAGAGGGGAAGGGAGGGGCTGAGTTAAAAGTATAGTTTTAAAGAGCTTCAAACAGAAAGATAGGGATGCGAATGTGACGAGAGGGAAAGGGAGGGGAGGTGAGGGAGGGGAGGAGACGAGAGGAGAAGAGAGGGAATGAGGGGGGAGGAGATGGGAGGGAAGGCAGGAGAGGAGAGGAGAGAGGAGCGGAGGGGAGGGAGGGGCGGGGAAGGAAAGGGAGGGAGCGAGAGGGTAACAGAGTTACAGAGGAGAGGGAAGGGGACGAGTGGGGAGAAGAGGGAAGAATATCCCACCCACCCACCTCATACCCCCACCCCATGCCCGCACCTCAAAACCCCACTCCCTACCCCCACCCCACTCCCCCACTCCATACCCCCACGCCCTGCGCACCTGCCAGGCGTTCATCATGAGAGCAGCGGAGAGGCGCGAGAGGAAAGGCACCAATGGGTCGGCCGTGGGGCCAGCTTCATTTCGCTCATTCCATACCCCCACCTTGCCCCATGCCCCCACTCCATATGCCCCTGCCCCATCCACCCACTCCATACCCCCACACCCAGCCTACCTGCCACGCGTTCATCATGAGAGCAGCGGAGAGGCGCGAGAGGAAAGACACAGCCGGATCGGCTGTACTGCATTCCTTGGTGTGATTTTCCGTATCCGGTTCTGTGTGCTTGCATGTGCGTGCTGGTGGTTGCAGTGGTTCCCAAGCAGCAGGGGAGAGTGCGAGCATGTGCGGGTTGACCTTGCCCACGCTGCAGTGATGGGGGAAAGCGCGAGGGGGAAGGGAAGGAGGAGAGGGAGGGGAAGACGAGTGTGTGATTGTGGGGCAGAGAAGAAGTTAGAGAGAACTTAAATGGGGAACGAGTTGAAAGTTACGTCGATGGGAAAATTATGCGGTTATGGAATTTTAGACTTTAGAAAGAGGTGCGGGGGGAAAGCGTGAAGTCTTGGCGAAGGGAAGGGAGAGGGGCAGAGGGGGAGTAGAGGAAAGGGAGGGGAAGGGCAATAGTGACTTGTGAGCAGGGGTCTGTACATGCATCAGGAGATGCTAAACATGCACACAGACATGCACACATTTGTACATGCGCACACAGACATGTGGGGTCTCTACCTGGCAAAAGGGATGGGAGCACCCAGAGGGCATGCGCCCAATGCCCATGCATGCACACATTTGTACAGGTACACACAGACATGTGGGGTCTCTACCTGGCAAAGGGGATGGGAGCACCCAGAGGGCATGCGCCCATGCACGCACACAACTGTACAGGCACACGGGAGATGCTAAACATGCACATAGACATGCACACATTTGTACAAGCACACACAGACATGCGGAGTCTCTACCTGGCAAAGGGGATGGGAGCACCCAGAAGAACGGAGAGCGTTGGAGTGAAGTCAATCTGCACAAGGAGGAAGGGAACGCACGCACAAAATAAATGTCGCGTGCAATTCACACGCCACGAGCGCAGGAAGGAAGGAAGGAAGGAAGGAAGGAAGGAAGGAAGGAAGGAAGGAAGGAAGGAAGGAAGGAAGGAAGGAAGGAAGGAAGGAAGGAGCATGGTGAGGAGCTTCGTGCGTGGTGGCGTGGGGAGGGGAGGGGAGGGGAGGGGAGGGGAGGGGAGGGGAGGGGAGGGGAGGGGAGGGGAGGGGAGGAGACCACCACCAGTCACATGCCATGAGCGCAGGAGCGGATTTCAAGCAGCAGAATGTGCTTATTGATATGAACCAATTCCTGTTTGCGCCCATACTTTATCATGCTACACCCGCCTCC